CAGAGATGTGGGATGAAAAATTTTCCAGTGCTTTATTTCTCTGTGGGAAATTTTCCAGTTCTAAAAATTCATTGTTTCATTAAATGCATTGGTAACAACGAATGGATGCCAATACAATATTAGGCAAGCTTGGCAGTTTCAAAGTTGTAATTAATGTTTTCAGGTGATTATCCCTCAGAAGTGTGTGACAGAGTATGCATATGTTTTATTGATTTGTAAACAGGAGGGTAAATACACTCATATAATAATCCAAACCAAAAACCAAGTTATGAATTCACCTAGTTGGCTGTGCAGGTTAAATTAAAACCACATGAATGCACCGCTAAGCTTGTTTCTATTTCTCAAAATCTCTTCCTTCTGGAGAATCAGTCAGAAGCACAATTAGTAAAGAAGATGCAGTGTAATGATAAGTTACCCTTGCCCATGGACTCATTGGTAAAACCATCATTTAGTGAAAGAGAATGTCAAGTCATTCCAAATCAAATTTGCCCCAATGTGATTCTGAAATGGAACTAATAAATAGTGCAAGTGATTCTACAGATAGTGACAGTGAAACTGGAGGTGCCACAGTGACCTCAGTGCAAGAGAGTTAAACTCTGTTGAAGTAGATGAGTGAACAACCATGCCATATCAGGCACAGATCTTTGGGTGTGCTAAAATTAGTGTCAATAGTTTTCAGGACCTACATTTTTTTCCCTTAAATTTAAACAAACAATGCAAGGGAAGTGCATGCTATTGTGTATTGTCTTTAAATTGTTACAAGTATTCCAATAAAAATAATTTCTTTTCACATAAAGCTTTGATTGTGTTTGAATATAACATTTAAACCACATTAAGAGTGCTGTATTTATTTATTTATTTTTAATCAAATATTTCAGTTCAAATACTTGTGGCTATTGGGACATAAAATTAACATCAGTGTACTTTAAGTTTTGTTTACTAAATATAATTCAAATAAGCATGATAAATCAGATCACGGTCTATTTAGGGCAGTGGAAAATTTTCTAGAAAAAAACATCTCTGCATAAAAAGGTGCAAAACCTGTGCATATCTTCACTGCTACAACAATCAACACCTGCAGCGCCTGGTGTTTTCTTTGATCCTCCCAGTCTCAGGCTATGGGCTGAGGAGGGAGAGGAGGATCCAGGTAGTCAACCAAAGACCGTGGCGCTGGTGTCATGGGAAAGGCTTTGGCTTCCACGACCACAGTCTGCTCTTTGGAGAGACAGGCAGCAAGCTGCTGGGAAGGGACGGTCTCCACCTCTCTTCATTGGGGAGGAGGCTCTTCTCAGCCAGACTGGCTGACCTGCTCCACCAGGCTTTAAACTAAGCCCGCTGGGGGATGGGGGGGGGGACTACTGCCACTGCTGGCCCACTGAGCGGCCCTTGCAAAACCAGCAGGCCAAAGCACATAAGGGTTCCCACCCCAGCCCTGGAACAAAATGTAGGTAGGGCAAGGGCCCCCAAGGGGACACTTGCATGCCTATACACAAATGCCAGAAACCTGGGGAATAAACAGGAGGAACTTGTTCTCCTGCTAAACACAAATAACTATGATGTTATAGGGATAACAGAGACCTGGTGGGACTCCACCCATGACTGGACCATGGTATAGATGGCTATACCCTGTACAGGAGGGATTGAGTGGACAAAAGGGGTGGGGGCGTAGCTCTCTATGTCAAGGAAAGCTACGCATCCCTGCAAGCTGACATTGGCACCCATGAGACGCGCTGGGTTAAAATCCTTTGGGAACGCAGGACAGCGGATACTATGGTGGTGGTCTACTACAAACCCGAGAGGTTGCAAAGCTTTCTCTCATGTGTGGATGACACAGGAAGTCTATCTGACACAGGAAGTCTACGGGCCGACAAGAGGTAAAGCGCTGCTTGACCTCGTACTGGCAACCAGGGATGACCTAATCAGTGACCTAATGATCAAAGGGAAGCTGGGTGACAGTGACCATGAGTTGATCACCTTCACCATCTGTCGCAAAGCTAGCAAGTCAGTCAGTAATACAGAAGTCCTCAACTTCAGGAAAGCTGACTTTGACAACCTAAGGAGGCTAGTCAGAGAGGCCCTAAAAGGCCACAACCCAATGGTGAGGGGAGTTCAGGATGAGTGGTTGCTCCTCAAGGGAGCAATCCTGGATGCGCAAGCAAAGTCCATCCCATCTCGGGGGAAAGGCAGCAAAAGGGCACAGCAGCTCCCTTGGCTCTCCAGGGAACTGGTGGACCTCCTACGTCTTAAAAGGAAGACCTACAAAGGATGGAGGACTGGAACCGCCACCAAGGAGGAATACTCTGCTCTGGTCCGGACCTGCAGAGAGC